CTTAATTTTGTGCACCCCGTGCATCGCACGGGATCTGTACTAGTATGATAATTAATAGCGAATTTGTTAATTGGAAAACATATATGTTAATTAATATCAGATTTGTTATTTTACTATTTTTAGGCAATAATTAATGAAATTTACGAGAAAGAGTTTCTAAAAGTGAATTATGTTAATTCTTATTATATATCCATAGATATGCTGGTTAGTATATTTCAGGTTTTTTATTTATTTTTTTTTTTTTTTGGTCACCTTTTGTTGTAGGCCTCCTATTTAAAATTTTAACTTGCATGATTATGTAAATAAATTGGCTTATATTTTTCATATCACATGCCTTCAATATGTCCCTCTTTATATGTCCATAATGTAACAATCTATATGTTGCTATAAGCTAAATAGTCAAAAAATGTCAAAATTAACATAGTTCAATTGAAATTTTGCTTGAAAACGCTTCCAATGAGGAAGCACAATACAAACTAAACCGCAGCCACTATACAACATACTAACAAAAAATGAAAATGTTATCTACAAAAGCTTACAAGGGAAAGGATGGCTTTGTTCTTTGCCTAATCACTTTACCTCTCATACCAAAGCTTCTATTTCTATCTACATCCTATATATATTCAGGTCACCTAAGGCTTTGTCTATACACAGTTAACCAGCAAATATCACAGGCACCAACCAATCTTTATCAAACACACCAAAACAACAAAAAAGGTCTCAAAACTCACATGAAGATCCCAACCGTTGCTTGGACAAACCCATGGATTTCCTCTCCTCAAAAGCCTTTGGCAAAGCTTTCTCGAAACCCGCCAAGAACAATCGCCACTCGTCCTCATCCATCTCACCGAAACAAATACACTTCCCGTCAAGATTATAGTTCGGAACCGAGTAGCTCAAGCTCCTCATCAATCCACCTGATTTCGGATTACTTTCATCCCCACTCTCATCATCTGCACCGCCTGATGAACCACCAAACCCCTCCACAAAACACCGCTCATTCTCATTCAAATTTGGCGCTCTTTTCGGTTCATCCAAAACGCTCATCGAAGAGAATCTCGGGATTTTGCATGGCTTACCCCTCACGGGCGACTTCGACGAGTTTTCACACTCGTCGTCAAATTGGAACATCTCGTCACCTCCTTCTTCGGGCTTATTCCCATTTTTTTCACATAAATCGCCACTCTTTTTCAAGCTAGACTTCACTTCCATGCAGAGATTCTCCAATGTGCTCCAATTTTCTTCCCCTCCACAAAACTCCCGAGTCATCATCTCGCCTATGTCGGCAAGGCACAGCCCGTGAGCCGTGGCCTGCTTCAGGAATATCGTGCAGAGAACCAAAACCCGGACAGATGACTCAGCAATCGAGGGTAGCTCGGTTCTCAAAAGCTCGGCATCCTTATAAGGGTCGAGGAGTGCCACATACTCGATTTCCAGCTCCGAAAACGGTATGGAGGCCTGCGGCCAATGTAGCCACTCGAAATACGGGTCGTCGAGCGACTCGGGCAAGCAGAACCCATGGTCAATCGGCACCAGCTCGGCAGTGGCCCCTCGCCTCACCAGAATATTCCCCGCGTGCCTGTCCAGGTTCATCAGCCGCACGTCCAATATGCCTATGTGGTGCACGCAGGTGACGGAAAAGCTAGACGGGCCCAAGTCCCCTGCGTCCGAGTCGTGGCTCACGAACCGCTGTAAAGACGCGATTTTGTAGTTCGGGCTCGTATCGGGCTCGGGATTGTTCAGATTAAACTTGACGTTAGAGATTCTGACTAAAGCCGTTGGGGGTACCCCAGCGAAACCATCATGGTCGAGAAGGTAAGCGGCCGACTCTCGGAGGCCCGTTTCGCCGATCATAATGGAGCATTTGATCCCGGGCTGGCCCAGCATCCGCCCGGCCAGCCCTTTCGGGTTGTTCACCGCTAGGGGCTCCTCGTCGACGGGCTTGGCCACGGCTATTATGGTGTCGCCATTCTGGGCCCGGAGGAAGTAGGCCCCACCGAGCCCGCTCGAGACGGGCTCGGGGCTGACACCGGAGGCCATGGCGATGGCGACCTCGGCGACAAGGGCACGGACCCGCGGGGCGGCCCGGCCCACGATTATCTCGATCCTCGAGCCGTGCTCGTCTTTCAGCCATGAGGAGGAGTGGGAGAGGCATGGGGTGGAGAAGCTCTTGTGGATGTTGGAGAACTCGTTTTGCAGGGGGAGGTTGGTGGTTCGGGTGAAGTCGGGCATTTCGCGATTAATTTGAGAGAAAGATTGGAGGTTGCATCTCGGGGGGCGGGAAGGGAATGGCTTGAATCCATGAGCTTGATCAACGGCTACAGCCATATTGAAGAGACTCGTGCACGAGAGAACGGGTCATATACATGCTATAGGGGAGCTGCTGCTCTTTTTTCGTTTGTTTTTCTTTTCTTTTCTTTTTTTTTTCTTTTTTTGGTTTCGTTTCTTGTTAAGAAATCGCTTGCACTGGGAGATTAGACATTGTATTTCTGCATTCAAGAGATAATTTGAAGGATGATCAGGATCAGGGCATATTAGTCAAGCATCAAGGATTAGACCAATGAACTTCTTTTCTCATATTAGCAGGGAAATCAAGAAAATGAGGATCAATGCATGCTTTAATGATGTGAAGATTACAATACAAATGCCGTTAAATGAATAGTCAGGCCGTACACCAGTTATTTTTAATTGTACCATGATGCTTGACAATGATTCTTAAGATTTCTATAACGAAGATCCAGAGTGAACAAAGCATAACGAGGTATGATATATATTCAGTAAATATACTTTCTTACTTGAAATTCGCATTGAAAAGGCTGCAAAAATCAACAGTTAGATCCATGGTGCTAATCTCCGAACACCTGCAGATATATCACCACTCATTATATGATTCCATTTAGTGGTATCAAATTCAAGATTGCATCACTCGGACTATATATGTAGGATACAACTCTAAGAAAAGAGGAAAATTAAAATAGTGTCACGTACCATCTTATTATACCCTCGCTTCTCTGCTTAAAAATCACCAAAATGGACTGCATAAAATGGAAAGAAGGGAAAAAAAGATCACCACTTATCACTATAGTTCTGTTTCATTACCAAAACTGGCAGAATAAAGAAAAACGAAATGGAAACACGATCGACTGAATTCAATATTCCACAACATCATGATCGGACGATCTCCTAAACCGATCGTCTCCACTCAAGAATCTCTATGAATTAGTAGCACAATGAGAACAAGAATCAACATATTGGATAAGACAACTCACGCTAACACACGAAAGTGCGTCAAGGCAAACCGAATTATTATGCGCCGAACACAGAACAAGTGGAACGAAGAGGTTGCAGAACGAGAAAAAAAAAAAAAAAAAAAAAAAGGAAAATAGCATTGGCTCTGCATTGAGATTATCCATCTAATCCTTACTAAATGAGCATCAAGTGAACATTACAGAGAAACAATCTCTCATTACAAACTTCAGCTGATTAAACCCAATTGCAATGAGGAAAATCATACCCAAATTCAAATAAACCAATTTCAAAACGAATTCATTTCCATAAAAAGTGATAAAATTGCTCTAACAGCAAAATTATGCAATCAAACACATCCTTATGTGAAGCTCTCAAGCAGGAAACAACACATTCCACAGGAAACCCAGAATATCATTCATATAACACAAAAAATATAACTAAAAATCAAACAAATATTTCGCATTCTCAATTCCAAACAAAATCGACCCAATCTTCATTGCCGCAGAGAAACAGAAATCTCTCTCTCTCACACACACACACAGAGAGAGAGAGAGAGAGAGAGAGAGAGAGAGAGAGAGAGAGAGAGAGAGAGAGAGATGTACCCTGAACACTGGTGAGGCATTCAGGGCAAAGTAAAACGGCAACGGGAGAGAGCGCGAGAGCGAATTATTCCGTCACCGGAAAAAGGAAACTCCTAAGGAGAAAACACAAATCTCTTCTTCTTCTTCTTCGTTTTCCTCTGGATTCAAAATGGCATCAAACCAACAGTAGATTTTCCTTTATAGGTGAATTTTCTGTGCCTCAGAAAAAAAACTGGTACAACGCACGCACTCTCTCCGTATTCCGATTTCTTTGGCATTAACCACGGTTTTGTTTTCTATTTATGGCTCCACATTTTTATATATATCGTCAAAACATTAGCGGCAACTTATATAATAGGAGATGCCATGGTCTCGGAACCATTCCGTCGAGATTTGTAACTGTTAGATCAACTATTCGGACGGTTACATAATAATGTAACGATTACAAACCCCAACGAATAGTTTTGTAACGAGATCGTAACATTTCCCTTCATTATATTATACTTATTTTCATATTTTAGCATTTTTTGGTGCAATAAAGCAAAATTTAATGAATATTTTTTAATTGCAATTTGGATGCCATTGGTGAAAAGTAAGGCTGAATATGGATCTCGGAGAATTCCGAACTGTTTTGGAAAACCGAACCGAAATCACTGCGAACCGAAAAATTTGCAAGCTCTTTTAGGCCAATTTGTTTCACAATATCTCACATACAACGTGAAATACAATCAACAAAAGTATAATATACGACGAACAATACCCTTGATTGTGGGCTTGTAAGGCATTAGAGAACTAAAGGGTAATGGTGTTTATACATTTGTAGATTTTCCCCCTTCTTCGATTTATCAAGGAAAAAAAAGGAGATTAATATATCATACACAGCTTAGAGGCATTGCAATGTCAACACAGGGCCCGTCACCTCTGAGACTTTGACCTTGGTGCATATTTTTCGGCTGCCCCGAAACTTTTACAATCGGAATATTTACAGGCACAAAGATAACTTTTTTTTTCTTTATCCAATCAACGATGAGAACTGTTCATTTTTGCATAAACTCTCACCAGCAAAATTCCTTTCAGCTGCTCGTTTTTGTGAGCGGGTACAACTCAGAGAAGCGTAGTTTGGTGAAGTCTTTTCCCTTCAGAAAATGATGCTTCTCGTTTTCTGCTCAACTACAAAAGCAGTACACTTAATATGGCCAGCAGCAAGGCCAGTATGTTGGAGGATAAGATACCTGCAGAGGCTGCAAAGGGGGATATTCATTCCAAAAAAAAAATGTTAAAATCGGCATGCTTACGAAAATTAGGGGTGAAAAGTTGGCATGCGCACGCATATTAAACAACGCTAAAAAAAAGTTGAAAGATCAAACCAACTTATCACAACTTGTGACCAAACAGATTATATATATTGGAGATAGGGAAAGATAGATATACTATACTGATAATGTTTAGCTTTACTGTATTTAGAAGGGGGAAAAAGAAAGGAAAGAAAACAAATAGCAAGTACTTAATTTACATATGCTTCCATTTTTACAACTTGCACCAGTTCTCAAGGGGATACTTTTTAACCCAAATACAACCTCTTCTTTGGTTGTTGTTAATAAGATAAAAACTCATGATTGACCATTAAGGGGGTGATTGGATATAAAATAATTTGGTTTTGATTAGATTTATGGGATAAAATGAGTTGTTTTGAATAAAGTTGATTGAGGAGAGAATTGAGTGGGATTTTGATTTTGTATTTAAATAATATTGAAAATGTTATGATCAAAGTTGATTTAATGTAAAATTAAGAGAGATGCGACTGGAAATGATGGGTAGTTGAAAATATTTGAGTGGATGAATAGTAAATTAAAGTTTGATGTGATGTGTGAGGATGACTGATATAATTGAGGAGAATTAAGTTGGACAAAGTTGAGTTGAATTTTGAGTACTTGCAGAGATATTTTTCCTTCACATAAGTCCTATTAAAAATGAAAAATAAATAAACAGTGGACAAACAAACCCGAAAAAAATGCAAAATCATATACTTACATGGAGACGGCGAGGGTGATGAAACTATCGGCATCACATTTGATGGCCTTACACGAGACACACTCCTCGATGGCGGATGACTGTGATGATGAACATGACCGTGACCACCACCGCTAGGCGGGCTTGCCCCACGAAACGGAGCCCGTTTGGGAGGTGGGGAATATTTCCTCCTCGGTTGTGACGGACTAGGGCTGGGCCCATAATCCGGCGAATAAGAAGGCGCCACGTGGCGAAGATGCCCATTGTGCTTCCACGTATGACGACTACGTCCATATGGGCAGGCTGGCGGCGGCAGAGGTGAAAGTGGTTTTTTATTGCCCGCGCGTTTGTGTACAGGAATAGGCGCAGGCGCAGGCGAATGTCCCCCAAACACAGATCCC